CACACACACACACACACACACACACACTCTGTTCAGAAAGTGTTAGGTGTCTTAGTCCTCATCCACCAGGGCCCATTGTCTCCTGATATTGTAGCCAAGGTTGGAGGACAACTGAAAGATGAGAAGCAGGGGTAGTGGGTTCCCCTTCCTCTGTGACTCGGGTCCTTTGGGGCATTTTTGCAAAGGCTGGTCCTCTGAATCCCAGTTTCCTCTTCCCAGGCCAGTTGTAAATTGGAGTGGGGGTGTCTGCAGCTGTGAGGCCAGATGCTGCTGCTCTTACTGGGTTTTCCCTTTGGGAAAAATGTTTTCTTATTTATAGTATTGTGCTTCCAGGGAAAGCGGCCACTTGTGTGTATATGTGTGTGCATGCACACACATGCATGTACACATTGTGTGTATGTGGAAATCTGCTGGACAAGTCAAAACCATAGAAGAGTTGCCTCTTATCTCTCAAATCTTCCAGAGATGTCACTTGTTACAGCTTTTGTGTTAACCCTCATCAACCCCCACTTTTATTCTACTGGAGAGTCTGCTGGTGATTCTCTGTGTCTGTTTCTGACTTTTATTCTACCCCCGTCTCTGTCTTCCAGCCCCCAATCATATTTCCATCTGGATGCATCATTTTTCCTCCCAGTGTGCTATAGAGAAGGAGTTAGGATGCTGTCTTCCCATGAATAGTACTCAGTAACAAACCAATTGCATTTTAGTTGGGCAATGCCCCTACCCACCCTCAGACCCCTTCCAGCTAAAACCGTTCCGTTCTCCCACCATGTGTTTCTCAGTTTCCCTTTTTGTTTGTTGGATTGTTCCCATGTCCCTCCTCCTCACCTTACCACCCTTGGATCGTAATGTAAAATTCTTTTACCATGTCAAGAAATTATTAAAAATACAGGTACTTTGACCTCTTTCTAAAGCTGCAGACCCTGATGCGATGCTCTGGTGGCCAGGAACATACCCACACTTACGTGTGTGCACATTGGGATACCCACCTCCGCATATACCTCCAGCCACCCTATTGGGTGTCTTTATACCAGCTGAGCTGCCTCTTTTCTCTGGAATAATGGAAAGGCTGAGGCTTCTACCTACCAAGAGGCAAGGGTGGGTCCTTCATTTGTCTTCAGTCTGAATTAAATGAAAGTTAGCTCTTCCCAAACCTAAGCTGCCTTCTACCCTCACAAGATCCCAGCTCCTTCCTTCCTTCCCCAGTGATACCCATGAACTGCCAGTAGAGGCTGCTCTAGTTCTGTGTGTGGGGAATCACCTGGTTCAAGGCACACCCGACCCTGTCATTTTCTTTGCTCTATACTAAAAGTTCCTTCTGAATAATGTCTTAAGTTTCTTGCGGAGATGCGAGGGACTCCTGGTTTTTGGTTTTCAAATGAATTGGAGGGCTATCTAGGACCTTAGCTCCCTCTGAAATAAAGTTTCCTTAACTTCCACCTTGCAGAGTAGTATTCTGGTATCCAATGATCTGGTATCTGTTGTCTCTGCAAAAAAAGATTTAAGGACTTGAACAATGGAGGAACATCTGCTCTATTCTGTTTCAGAGATCAGTACCAGTAGCTGACAATTTTTGAATGCCTACCCCGTGTCAGGCTGTTAAGTACTTAACGTGCCTGATCTCATTTACTCTCTATGAATCTCTGGGGTAGTTTTATCCCTTCTTTATAGGTGAGGACACTGAGACTTATGATAAGTAACTCCCCTCAGGTCACACAGCTTAGGGACCTGCGATTGGTGTACAAATCTGACTGCTGCGCCCAGGCCTTCACCACTCCTCACCAACTAGATGGAAGAGGCCTGAGGCTACAGATCAAGGGCTTGGTCTTAGGCATCTGGCAGAACACAGTGCTTACTGCTGAACTGGGCAGTGGATCCTGGAAATACTGGAGGGGAGTGCCTGCCAGGAGGTAGGAAAGTGGACAGTTAGAGTGGTTGCATGTAGTACATGGGACTTGATTGGGCGTCTGAGATTTGCATACTTCCTCAGACCCGTTCTGGGTAGAAGGCAGAGTTTAGTGTATATACAAATGCTCTCTAATCTGGCCTAAATGCTGGAGATCGGGAGTGGGTACTGGCCGCGCTGCTGGAAGGGGTTCAGGGATGGGGAGACGCCACGCACGTGCAAGTAGCGCCTCGAGCCAAACCACAGAACAGAAAACGGGCAGAATTATCTAAATCAAGGTCAGAAACTTCCCGTCCAGCCCACAGGGTGGAGTTTTCACTATTCCTATCCATCCTACTGAATATAAACCCGGATTTGATGTCAGTAAGCAGAAGGAGCAGCTGGCGGGACTCTCATTTCAGCTCTCGGCATTCACCATGAATCTCAAGGTAGTCCTCGTGTTCCTGGCACTGTCCCTCATTACCATCTCTGCCCTGGCCTATGTCTTGCTGACCAGCCAACGTAGCTCCAGCCGGCCTCCCCGCTGCCCCTCTGTATCCTACAGTGCCCAGTCCTGGACACACCCTGGTCAGAGCCAGCTGTTTGCAGACCTGAGCCGAGAAGAGCTGACGGCTGTGATGAGCTTTCTGACCCAGAAGCTGGGGCCAGGCCTGGTGGATGCAGCTCAGGCCCACCCCTTCGACAACTGCGTCTTCTCAGTGGAGCTGCAGCTGCCCCCCAAGGCTGCAGCCCTGGCCCACCTGGACAGGGGGAGCCCCCCGCCTGCCCGGGAAGCACTGGCCATTGTTTTCTTTGGTGGACAACCCCAGCCCAATGTGACTGAGCTGCTGGTGGGGCCACTGCCGCACCCCTCCTACCTGCGGGATGTGACTGTGGAGCGTCACGGGGGCCCCCTGCCCTATCACCGACGCCCCGTGCTGGGAACTGAGTCTGCCCAGATGTGGAAGCATTTGAAAGAGGTGGAGCTCCCCAAGGCACCAGTCTTCCTGGCTTCTGTCTTCAACTACAGTGGCTCCACTTTGGCAGCTCTGCACGCCACCCCTCGTGGCTTGCGCTCAGGGGACCGTGCTACCTGGATAGCCCTCTACCATAACATCTCAGGTGCTGGGATTTTCCTTCACCCTGTGGGGCTCGAGCTACTGCTGGACCACAGGGCCTTGGACCCTGCCCGCTGGGCTGTCCAGCAGGTCTTCTACCTTGGGCACTACTATGCAGACTTGGGTCAGCTGGAATGGGAGTTTAAGGCTGGCCGGCTGGAAGCGGTTAGAGTTCCTCTACCCCTGCCAGATGGGGCCTCATCGCTGCGATCGCGGGTCTCCCCAGGTCCTCTTCCCCCTCTTCAGTTCTCTCCTCAGGGCTCCCGGTACAGTGTGCAAGGGAACCTAGTGGCGTCCTCCCTCTGGACGTTTACCTTTGGCCATGGGGTGTTCAGTGGCATGAGGATTTTTGATGTTCGGTTCAAGGGTGAGCGAGTGGCCTATGAAGTCAGTGTCCAGGAGTGTGTTTCTATCTATGGTGCCGATTCACCCAAGACAATGATGACCCGATACCTGGATAGCAGCTATGGACTTGGCCATCACAGCCGGGGCTTGGTGCGGGGAGTGGACTGCCCCTATCAGTCTACCATGGTGGACATCCACGTATTAGTGGGCAAAGGGGCAGTCCAGCTGCTCCCGGGGGCTGTGTGTGTGTTTGAGGAGGCCCAGGGACTACCCCTCCGCAGGCACCACAATCACCTTCAGAGTCATTTCTATGGTGGTTTGGCTGGCTCGGCCCTTGTAGTCAGGTCTGTGTCCTCTGTAGGCAACTATGACTACATTTGGGACTTTGTATTGCACCCAAATGGGGCGCTTGAAGGGCGGGTCCATGCCACGGGCTACATCAATACAGCTTTCCTGAGCGGGGGCGAGGAGAGCCTCCTCTTTGGGAACCGCGTTGGGGAGAGAGTGCTGGGGGCGGTGCACACGCATGCCTTCCACTTCAAGCTGGACCTGGATGTGGCAGGTGAGTGCCCAGGGGATGAGGATTGAGAGTTGGGGTGGGCCAGAGGGAAGGGAGACCCGCGCATCAAGCCAGAAGAGGCAAGAGGGTGGCATTCCAGCACCACAATTTATTGTGGCAACAGCAGGGACTGATCTGACTGTATTCAACTGCAGTCAGCCGAAATACTGGGCTTATTGGGTATTTGGCAAAAGGTAGAGAGTGTTCCCCCACCCAGCCCCTCTGACCCGCTGGCAATTGTGAAACCAAATGTAATGGCTGCGCTGTACTAGCTGGCTGCCTTAGCCTGTCTGTGGGTGGTGAACTTGCCCTGCCTGTCTGAGGCTGGACACGGCTGGAGCTGGGGCTCTGAGTTCTTCCTAATTCTGAGAGTCGGTGGAGGTGGGGAAAGCAGGGGCCTGAACAGAATAGGGAGTAGTCTGTCTAAAGAGCTTCCTCAGAGTGAAGGTGGTCCTGGGGCCTGAGAAAAGGAGGTGCTAGCTGGGGGCTGCTCCATAGGATTTCAGATAACTGAGGATACAAGACAGGGGCCCCATCCGCCTCCTGGGGAGGACCATCCCATTCCTGCCAGCACATGTCATCACAGTGGGCTCTATGGTGACATGGCAGGCATGCAGTAGGCTTGCTGCAAGTGTAGAAAGGGATTTCTCAAGTAGGGCTCTAAGCACAAAGGGGACCTAAAGCTCCTGACAGATTTTTGTCCAGAACAAAATAATTAACTTATCAAGTTAGACTATTAGGCCCAGAAAGAAAATTAGGAATCCATCAGACCCTCTCTATTTTATAGTTACGGAAACTAAGGAGGGTGGGGGGAGATGGGTCAGGAAGTGGCTGCCCAAGTATAATGCACTGTAACTCAGCCTATTTCTTGTGAAACATTTCCATATTCTCTTGAGCATAAAGATGGCGTGTGTGTGCATCTGTGTGTGTGTGCTGTGCGGGTGGAGGGGAGAGAGCTAAGAAAACAGCATGATTGAAATGCTATTTTAAATCATGCATTTTAACTAGGTTATTCTTTGACATATTTGGAATATGACTATTTTCTGACTTGAAGTTTTCTTTCCAGCATTTTGGCATTGAAGAGCCTTGTCTTAGGACATAAAATCAAATAACATTTATTGGACCAGCGTGCAGCACAGGCTGGTGCTGGTGCTGTTCTGCTGTGGGCAGAACAGGCTGGTGCTGTGGTCTGTGTCAGGCCCCTGCACACAGGACAGCTGGCAGGGGCACTGGCTTCAGGAGAGTTCCCTGGGTGCCAGCACATTCATATGAGTCATGCCAAAAGGAACCAGCAGTCCGAACCTGCAGAAAGAGTATGTGTTCCAGGGATCTCCCAGACAATTTAAAGATATAAATCTACTTCCTTGTAAAAAAGACAAAGTGATACCTGCCATATTGAGAAAAAAAATCAAAGTCTCAGAGCCAGGAGGAGTATGCAGGGCACCACGGAAGGGGATTGGGTTTTTCCATCCAGCTTCTCCAAGACAAATATCCCTTTCACAGTTAGAAGAATGTTATTAGCCACCTGTGTGTGCTTTTACATTTATAGAGCTCAGCCGCAGAACAGCTTTTCTTATGCCCATTGTAGCGATTCACCAAGTGAGAATCAGAGAAGCAAATAATTGGTCCAAAGTATATTGGGTAGACCAGTGCCAATAGAACTTTCTGCAATGATGGAATGTTACATGTCTGCCTTGTCCAATATGTTAGCCACTAGCCACATGTAGCTATTGAGCACTTGGAATGTAGATAGTGTGACTGAGGAACTGAATTTTTAAATTGAAAGAGCCACTTGTGACCGGTGGTAACTGTGTTGGACAGGGCAAGTTCAAAGAAGGTGGGCTAGCCCTCAAGTCCAGACCTGGCTCCCAGCGCAGAGCTGATGAGCTCTGCTGTCCTTTGTCAGGCCAGTGCAGGGGGCATCACGGAGAAAACAAGGGACCTGTCTCACCTGCTGTGGAACTCCTCTCCCTCCCCTCACCCTGGCAGGGCTGAAAAACTGGGTGGTAGCTGAAGACGTGGTGTTTAAACCTGTGGCAGCCCCTTGGAGTCCGGAGCACCAACTGCAGCGCCCACAGCTGACTCGGCAGGTCCTGGGAAGGGAGGACCTGACAGCTTTTTTCTTGGGGAACCCCCTTCCCCGCTACCTTTACTTGGCTAGCAACCAGACTAATTCCTGGGGTCACCAGCGCGGGTACCGAATCCAGATCCACAGCCCTCTTGGCATACACATGCCCCTGGACAGCGACATGGAGAGGGCCCTCAGCTGGGGGAGGTGAGGAGGGCCCTGGGCACTGGGTGGTAGGGAAGGACTGGTCCCCTTCCCATCCCAGCTCTTGAAGACCCCAACTCACTAACCTCGATCATTCACCCCTGGACCTCTTCTCAGATCCAGGTAGATATGGGACGGGAATGGTCTCACACAGAATCTGATCCAAAGGATTTCTGGGCTGGTAAAGGTCCTTGACATTTTCTGATACCACCTTCCTACAACATTCCTGGTCAGATACCAGCTTGTGGTGACCCGGAGGAAGGAGGAGGAGTCACAGAGCAGCAGCATCTATTACCAGAATGACATCTGGACACCCACTACAGCCTTTGCTGACTTCATCAACAATGAGACCCTGTTAGGAGAGGTTGGTAGCCCTAGGGGCAGAGGAAAGGCGCTCCCCTAAGCCTGGTGTCATGGCTGCCCGGCCCCTGGCTGTAGGATGGAGGGAATGGTAGATTTCCAGTTCTTAGATTAGAGGCCAGCCAGGGAGTTCCCTGATGACCAACATGGGTCATCCCCCCTGGGGGTGAGATTAGCCCTGGGACCACCCTACAGCTTCTCACATGGATTACCACGCCTGTTATTTGGGCCTGCGGCTGGGCAGAGGTGGAAGCAGGGCTGAGACTGGAGATTGGGGATTGTGGCTGAGGGGGGGTTCTCTGGGTCTCGCCTCCAAAGTCTCCAGTTCTTCCTCTTCCTGCAGGACCTGGTGGCTTGGGTTACAGCCAGCTTCCTGCACATCCCTCACGCTGAGGATGTCCCCAACACAGTGACTCTGGGGAACAGAGTTGGCTTCTTGCTCCGACCCTATAACTTCTTTGATGAGGACCCCTCCATATTCTCCCCTGGCAGCGTCTACTTTGAGAAGGGCCAGGATGCTGGGCTCTGCAGTGTCAATCATGTGGCCTGCATCCCCCACCTGGCGGCCTGTGTCCCGGACCTGCCGCCTTTCTCTTACCAAGACTTGTAGCCCTGAGTGTGTGGTGGGACATGGGCGGGACGGAGAGGGGGTGCTGAGACATGTACCTTCCTCTCTGTTCCCACTTCCTGCTCCCCTGACACTCGACCCTTGGGAAACTGCCTCCTACCACGTAAACCCCCATATATCCTTTAGTTCTTATTTCCAGTTCATCTTTTTTAAATGATGAATTTATACAAATGACGTTGATATTAAAATACTCAAGCTAAAACACCACAAATCCTACCACTCAGAAACAGCATTCACATTTGGTGAATGTTATACCAGACATTTCTTTAATGCATGTGCATTGAAGTGGAAGAATAGATAGAATTTTGTAAAAACTGATGGTGTGTATAATTTATAATAAAAAGTATTACAAGACTTTTACTTGGATTTCTTCTCTTTGACTTTTGAAGTGTCTAGAATCCCCCAGAGAATATTAAGGACTCTGGCCAAGGAAATTAGCCACGGAGGAGAGGGGGCAAGGGGGACAGACCTGGCCAAGAAATGCTGCTTGGGAAGCTGAAGAGCTGGGGGTGGGGTTTCCTTGGAAAGAGGACAATAGTTCCAAGTTGCAGGAAAGGGAACATCTGGCCTTGAGAAAGGGGCGCTGGGGAAAGAAGAGGGGCTGCCTCCTCCCCGGCATTTCTGTGCATGTCAGTGCATGTCTGCTCAGGCTGGTCAGCTTCATTAGTTTGAAATCCCCACCACCCCTTCCTCCTAACCCAGCACTCCCCTGTCCCAACCCTGACCCAGAGAGCAGAATGTGAGTGGGAGCCTGGAACACAAAGCCATGTAAGGTCTGTGGAAATCCCTGCTGCCCTGCCTTAGGCCCGCCTCCCAGCCCCAGCCCGCTCCGCCCCCCTCCCCAGCCTTCCCACGC